AGTTTCTACATGTACTTTCTTCTAAGCGCATTTTTGTCTCTGTTGATATCTGAAATGCTGGCTTTTATTACTGAATTTCTCATTTTTATTCTTTGAACTTGCAGGCGAAAGTACAAGGCACGTGATCCTATATACTGTAGAGTGGCCACTGCTTTTCCAATCAAACTCGGTCCGACCTCAGATGGCTTATCTTGATGATTTTTGTTAGGAATTCGAAAACAGAAATGTTCAAAGCTCATCGCTTAAAAATATTGTTATTCAAATCAATATATATATAATTTAATTGTCCTTCACCAAATACCCACCCCTAACTGTATAAAAAATATCGTTATGGTAAATATATATGCGTATTGTTCGTTGAAATGATGGAGTGGAAATTAGGATAGGATAATGTTTGATAATATAGAGAATATAATCGATATTATATTGGACTTTGAACCACATTAACAAAGTCGTGGTTGCATTATGGCTGTGAAGTACAGAGAGGGCAGGGAGGCTTAATAGAGTGTTTTCCACGAAATCGTGAGCATGCGCAGTTCGCGCCATTTTGTGCGGGACTGTTTCTCAGGGGGAAAGAGTAGAAGGGGCCTTCGGTACTTTTGTAGTATACCCCCCCCTCACCCTGTAACTTTCAGTAACTTTCACTTTTCAAACAGTTTTTTTACATTTTATTGTTTATCCATGTCAAAGCTGTTGAAATAAAATGCTTTTGTAATTACCTGTGGATTTTTTATTAGTGTTAATCACGTTTAATCCAGCCCAAACCTTCGTTACTGTCGCTCACAACACCATCTCACATTCGCCCATAAGATTATTTTCAATAAAGTTAAAAAAAAATATTAGGAACTTGTTAGGAAGCAAGTATAATGTCTAACGTCTCAGAAAATATGTAGAATGTTTATCTTAAACAAGCAATAAATAACTTGCAGCTATTTTCGCGGTGCCGCCCGACTTTTAACTGAAAAATCCTCCGTCGCGTATTTTGCTGCAGATCATTAATTTTAGTTGTTTGATGCTTTTGAAATATTTTAGTCATTAATCTTCATTTTAGTTAAAACAATGACGGAAGGCCCCATTGGGTATTTTCCTTATCCGTGAAAGCCACTTATCATTTCCTGAGATGCTCTCAGCGTTCTTATTTTAATAAACGTTATCCGTGAAGCACCCCATTCCCGGGAATCGTGAATTGCGGGTTTCTATGTATCCCTCGTCCCTAGTGAAACGAAGTCATTATAGTCGATGATAGTTATTTTCAGCTCGCCAGACTAGCATTTTCAACGGGATACGAATAAAGTTTTTAATTAATTAATGTGATTTGTAATTTGATGATTTTATTTCCTGTGGCCGTGAATTGTGATCACTCCCCCCCCCCCTCCCCCTTCCCAGCGGGCCCTCATGATTAGCTGGACGATATGTTAATAGGGCACAGTCAAATGTTTTACACGAAACACGACAAAACTACATTCTCTTAGAAAGCCATTTACAAAACCTTCGTTACCAGGCAATGAGAAAATATACTTGGAATTGAGGAAAAAATTCAGACGTTTTGAAAAAAAAATGAACGCGCATATATGTAGGCCTAATATAAAGCCTACTAGCGCAGTCTAGAAAAGTAAAATACAGGTACTAGTAGCTTTGCAGGATATTTAGGCAAAAATTGGCTTTAGAATATTTCCAAGTACGTTTATTATACTTTTAATGGTAATAACTCTAAATGTGAAGGTCCTTCAATGCTCCATTTGCTCAAATTGAGCGTTGTGTTAGTTGAGATCCATCAAAAGTTGAAGCCAAAAGAAAATAATAATAATAACAATTAAAAATTTTTAATTGCCTTTTTGTGAAAATGTATTCTCAATCAATAATCAATAATATCATTAAATGAAAGATCAAAAGATATAATAACTTGGACTCAGAGTAAAACAGCGGCGCTTTATGTGACCGGATGTGCCGAGATGCGACCCAGTATTCACTGCGGGTTTTCTTTGACCTACTTAGTCGGGCTTAGGTGGAGCGGGAAAATTTTACACGTTATTAAATAACGTTATACCAAGGACAAGATATATTTTTGAGTTACCATAAAAGTTTGATCTGAAACATTAGGACATTCCACGATTCTGGAATCTTTTTAAGTGCATGCAAAGACATTCTTGATGACAGAAAGGTGAGTACTTTGTTGCAGTGATCTGGTACCGGAAGTCTTGGGATTGAAAGCGACAGTTGGGCGGGGCTTTTGAGAGAGAGAGAGAGAGAGAGAGAGAGGAAGGAGCTTCAGAGACAACAGGTAGAGGATAGATAAAGGGATCCGGTGATCCTGGTGTTATAGGTGTTATACAGTAGATCTGGATTCCTGGAAACATCTTAGGTAAAACGTAAAAAGTTCTAGCAGAATTAAGGAGCAATAGGGTTTCTGTGTTGTCTTTTCCTAACTATAAAAGTTATTTGTGGGGATTTTTGTAGTGTTCACTTCGTCCTATCAAGTATCTTTATCTCTCTATTAAGTCATAGTCCTCCAACTGGAGTGTTGTTATGGCTTTGTATGTTAGGAATTCATACAATTTGAAGTATTCACTGTGTCTACTTACTGAATTGGTGAGTGATCACTGGCTATTGTTAGGCTCTTTGACAGAATATTTGGGATCGTCGATCTTGACATGTCCGATTCGGAGTGGGAGATCTGAGACAATGGATGTGTGACAGTTATGATGTCACAATGTAGACGATCTCCTGCAGGGGGCATGCTGTCTCCACCTGGCCTAACTCACTCACTTGTGATGGCCCATCTTGGCACATGATTGATCAGTTTTACTAGACCCCCCTCCCACTAGATGTAAACCGAAGTGCGAAACAGGGTTTTCAAAAATTTCCAAAACTTTGCAAGCTGTAGCGACCACATGAGCCCTTTATAATTTTTTGTATTGATCAGATGGGTTTACGAGGCACACGACTGGTTTTGAATTTTCAGACAAGACAGATCTCGGTATTAGTAGTCCCTCTTCTTTCTTTACCTTGGACGATGTATTTTTCTAACTTTTCATTGATCTCGCACGTTATCCTAAGTGCTGAAGTTAGGGGTACTACCACATTTCTTGACACACTAACCAAAGCTATCTTTATCTCTTGTGCACTCCATTTGTTGCATTGGTATGTCGCGCCCTTCTATTTGAATATAACCCAAATTGCAATGCTTGCTCGCATTAAACTGGGTGATTAGGTTGTGGCCTAACAAAAAATCGTCATGTATCGGCGCTACTCGAACAGATTCTTTGATTTTGAAACGATCTAGTTTGATGGAAAATTGGCTCGCAAACACGAGTTTCGATTTGTGTATCCCCTGCCACAAGAGTAAGACTAATATTTCTTGACAGTGTTCTCCACAACTTGAAATTATAAGGTTGGGGAAGAGCAGTTATGGTGAGGGTCTCCGGAAGCGAGCGCCAAAGGCGCTCGCCATGCTAGGGGGGTCCGGGGGCATGCTCCCCCGTGAAAATTTTGAAAAATTGGTGCAAATACCTGCATTCTGGCAATTTTAGAAGTCTAAAAGGTCATTTTTATGGTAAGAGAATTCATCATTTCTTTAATGATAACTATGATCATTTTGTAGATGTTCCTGTGTCAAGTTTTACTTTATATAAACAATAGTCATGGCTCTGAATTAAACTTCACTTTTATTTTTGAATAAATCTCTGAAACATAAGGCATTTCACATTGTTTTTATGGCTTCATTGACATCAGGTTACATTGAAGTAAAGTTAATAAAATGCAGTGCACTCTTCTGAAACAATCTAGAATTTGTACTTGTGAGTTTAAAACTTATTTTATCTCTGGGATAAAATAAAATGTCTACAGGGCAATCATATACCATGATAGCCTTCTCCACGAGTANCGGAAGTCACGTGACCGTGGAAAAGACTCTATTGTCTGGCCCTGTTTCACAAAAAAAAAAGTTAAGTCAGTTTCCTGTCTTAGTTGACTAGGATTTCAATGAGAGTGTTGTAACACTGTTCCTGATAGGGTAAGTTGTGTGCATGTGACCATGTAACCAAGTTTTTAGTCAGGTAGGCTGAGCTTTCATTATGCTGCATAGTTAGTATGTTGCACTGATCCGCGCCAGAGAAGAGTGTACCCTGCAGTGTAGGTCATCATCTGGTCCGTAGTCTAGGTCGTGGGTGCACCCAATTATTAACAGCATGTCTCTATATATAGCCATCGCGGTTTTTTACCTTTTTACAGAACTCAGCCCCTCTTTGTCCACTCCATTCTTTCAAATTGTCCATCCAGCTTGTTCTGGGTCTACCACAGGGCTCCGGTGTTTCTATCTTCTCCCCGTGACAAGGAGTGTATAGACATCTGTAAATTATGAGTAGGATAATTATTCCTGGGATTATGAACTTCATTTGCAGGATCGTTTGTAAGGCAATTAATTTTATTCATCTCTCATTTTAGCTACGTGGAGTTGTCGTCGGTGTAATCAGCACAATGTAAGCGGAAGCCGCAGTAGAACTTCACCAGAGCTATAACTAATATAGGGAAAGTTGACGATATTGCACGCTAGGATAATTAGAGAAGGGTCCACCACTGAAATATCCATAGTTGCATGTTACCAAAAACGCCGTGACATTCTGAGATACATGTAACCGCTAGGAGTAACGGTAGCGCAATGAAGTTCCAGGGTCTACATTTTCGTCCACTTTCACTAAAGATGGTTGTTGGCCTTACAGCCGGCCTTTGTGTTGTGCTTTTGATGTTGTGGATAATTCAAGGCCTCCAGTTGATCAGCTCGCATTCTTTCTTTCAAGGCTCCAAATCACAAGCCCCCACATCTCAAGACTCCAGATCACAAGCCCCCACATCTCAAGACTCCAGATCACAAGCCCCCACATCTCAAGACTCCAGATCACAAGCCCCCACATCTCAAGACTCCAGATCAAAGCCCCCACATCTCAAGACTCCAGATCACAAGCCCCCACATCTCAAGACTCCAGATCACAAACCCCCACATCTCAAGACTCCAGATCACAAGCCCCCTTATCGCAAGGCTCGAAATCGCCAACCCCAACATCTTCCAAATCGCCAACCCGCACATCTCAGGCACCCAAATCACAAGGCTCCCAGTTGGTAAGCTCTCTCTCTTAATTATACTTTCTTCCTCTCTCTCTCTTTCTTTCTTTCTTATGAGTAACAGTTAATGTTCAAGTCTTTTAAAGTATAGGATTGTTTTTCGCTCTTGAGTCATTATAGCTCTATTTAGACATCAAATATTGCCATTGGCTTGGATATCAAGCACAATGAAATAAAAAGAAATGAACGATCTTATAATTGAAGTTTATTTTGGGGGGTAAACAAGCATATCTCTAGATAACATCAGAATTATATAATCTTGATAACTACTATGTAAACAGCTAAACTATCCTATATTTTTTGAAGCCTCACCGTCTCACGGGTGTCACATCATACAATCTGGTGGATGAAATTACCATGGCGTTAATGGATAAAAATGACACCGATGTCAAACAGTATGGGGACCCGTTCTTTTATAAAGAAGAGCTAGGAGGGGAAGTAGCCTCGACGCTACAGGGGGATGTGAATAAGTTTATACCCGAGTTGAAAATGACATTACAGGAATACGACAGACTAGAGAAAGGGTTTTATGGGTAAGTCATTCATTTTTAGATGACTATTTCAGATGCTTATTTTAAACAATATACTTTATATGACTATTTCAAATGCTTAATCTAAATAATAGACTTAGTTCCTTTTAATACTATATTTGTATTTGTGTAGTTTACAATAAAGCACAACACATCTTTGTGTAATAGTACATTGTTTCACGAAGTCCTACCAGCAGTATGTGATAGTAGTCACTGGGTAGAGAGACTGGGCCAAATAGAGATTAATTTCGTTCAGCTTTGGTGCTTTTTCTGAAAGAATTTATGGCAGAATAGCCTATTTGCAAAATAAAAAAGATTAAGGTTTATTATCATTGATTTGAAGATTCATGTGATGGGCTATAAGCAAGGGAATAGACAAGAATTAAAATTTCATGAAAATTTTGTTTATGTAACTGTGTGTAAATATATTCATAAATCCATTTATTATAAATACTTTTTATTTATAATTTCATGTTTTGATATATATGTCCACTATTTAATTCTTATACATTGCAGTCATCTCATGCGCCAGCAGTACGACTGCCGTAATAGAGTTCGTGCTGGAATCTCTGAAGATGGAGGTTGGGAAGTGTGTATGGACCCACCGTTTGCAATTAAACCTGGCTCATGTCTTGTGTATTCTTTTGGGTAGGAATAAATGAAACTATATATATATATATATATATATATATATATATATATATATATATATATATATATATATATATATATATATTTCGCACTTCCTGATCTAAATAAGAATGATCAGGTTTTGACAAAAATTAGCAGGTTGCGCCCAATTTGCACTCTATTTTAAATGGTTTTGTTAATTAAAAATTACTAGAAATAAAGCGAATAGCTTAATGCCTTGATTGTGAACATCTGTGTTGATGCTTTGTATTTGTTTTGCGAACAGATTGGGCAATGAATGGTCCTTCGACAGATAGGCTATATGTCAAAGAGCTGCACAGTGTATGGATTTGAGACAAGGTCAGTTAGACCGGATGTTTACAATGCAAATTAACTCTTCGATAAACTTAGCCTACTCAGCTATGTCAGTAGTTTAACATTTGGAACAGTATTTTCAAAATGCTTCTCTTAGAAAGCTGGGGACCCAAGTCTATGACTATATATATATATTTATATTATCTTAATATCTTCTTAATATCTAAAAGGTATACATGTGTATATATTTAATTTTTTCAGCATCGGTCTAAAGCAAGAGTCCAAGGAGGTCGAACCAAATATGTGGTTTTACAACATTGGACTCTTTCGTGAAAACAGAGTTGTCAAGTGGAAGAATGGACAACAATGGGCCCTCAAAACTCTTGGGACAGTAAGGCAGATGCTGAACCATACAGATGTAATAAATACTCCTTTTATTATTCGTCTCATTAAAAGCATACAACCAGAACAGAAAAGGTCTTCATGTAACTTAAGTAATATTTTTTACCAATTTTCCCTTTATCAACAAGATGCAGTCCATACAAAACCAGGGAATAATATATCATAAAAACATTGAAATAAGAGATCAGTTATAATAATAGTATTTATATCTTATATATAACATTTTATTATGTTTATTCCACTACATTTCACAGTTATATACACTGCTCGATGGTCAGCTCTTATAATGCAATACTTTTCTATATTTAATTCATTGTTATACGTATTATTGCTTTAGAATTTATGTTTAATATTAACAGTACTAATTAAAAAGCAAATATGAAGTAACAATATATATATATATATATATATATATATATATATATATATTACACAAAGGTTATCAAAAATCTTTCAAATATCTTATCTAGTCAACCTCGCCTCTAACTAATATTTTTTAATTTCAGGCAACAATAGACTACCTAAAAATGGACGTGGAAGAGTCGGAATGGGACGCCTTAAAGACTGCCTTAAAGGAAGGATCTTTAAAAAATGTTAAACAGTTAGCCCTTGAATTTCATATATGGAACTTCTCGAAATATATAACACCAAAGCATGTATATATAGTGAGAAAACTAGAACTAGGCTTTAAGATATTTTTCGCAGAAAGAAATGCGTCTTCAAGAATTAAGTCTAAATTTACTGGAAGAGTGCTGACGTGGGCCAATAATGTTTATTTTGTCAATACGAACTATCTTCAAGCATGATTCATATGGGAAAGGAATTTGACAATTTAGCATTACATACCATTATAATTAACGCTCGGTGGTCAAAGTTTCCTCGTTGAATAGCTTGACACGAAAGGTAGTCAGCTCGGAACGTTTCCCATTACTTTGAACAGGTAACATCTGCACCATTTTTATTAACCTGAGTTATTAGCTAACCATATCCTGCGCTCATCAAACTGTCCCTAGACTTTAATCTCCAGGACTAATATCCTATGTCCCTGGCTAAAGCGGGTATATCCAGGGAGGCACGAGTAAAAATGGTCACCGAACAGATTATTCTATTTTTATTGTTTGCAACAAGCCGTCTCTCGTATTAGTCATAATGATTCATTTATGCGAACAAATTCATTCAAAACCTTATGAACTGTAATAAATATATTCGTAATGTTAGTAATTGACAGCCATGAGTGAATTAGGATCGGATCGGAGAGTGCTTTGCAGAGGAACTGGATTTTATGATACTTACAGACCGCGTGTAATGTAAATGGAGAGAAGGCCGCTAGAAACTGCATAAGGTAGAGATAGAAATGGGGAAATGTGGCGGGGTGAAACAGCTGGAAAGTAGTTAATAAATAATATGAAAGAATTTAACGTTCTTGTATTTATTACGTCGCGTATCAATAAACGATAAAGTCAACAACTTCGTCAAACTTTTTTAATACTCATACGTTAACGAAATTTTAGTGAACTTAAATCGGAGCCTTTATGAGAAAATGGGATGTAAGCAGTTGTGAATGTGATGATCTCGATATTTTACAATTCGTTTTATAAGATGTTTTGATGTTGGTGAGATCAGCCTCATGTCGCTTTGGAATAAAAGAACTACTGAGTTAAGAATAAAAACCACCGTTTACAACAGTTTAATCTGTGAGGTGATCATTTGTAAACAAAAGCACCTGAAATTAAAAGTGAGAAAACCTTTTCTGACTACTGGACACATTTCATCGCATATAAATATAGTGCTTGATGCGTCTGTAGAACTTACATTCTACATATTGCTATTGCTAATACATATTGATAATTTAATTAGTTTTAACGGAGGCTAGGTAAAATTTGTTGGAAATAATGCTACTGTTTTAAGCCTTCATAAAGTAAAAAAGTATATGCATTGTAGACGACCTTTGTTGGATATTTTCTCACGATTTTGGCACTACATGTAGGCCATATCTGCTGATCTTTTAACGCTTCCTCTCAACTAATCGAAGGGTGATTTCCGTGAGCGCGTACGTGTACCAAATATTTCGACTGCACATACAAACCAGACTGTCTTTGTGCATTTGTAGCTTTTTTATATATGACTATTTAATATTCCTCAATATAAACAACGGGAACAAAGATTTTTCTGTGACGCTCCTACTATGTTAGCCAAGTACAGCTTCACCTATATTTTCTGTCCTAAAGACATTCAAGTTTCGTACACCATCATTTTGCGAGCAAAGCTCAATAGTTAATAATGTTCTCTATCCAAGCCCCCTGGCGCTGAATCACTGCGCACATGGCTACTCACACACTGCAGTTTGTTATGGCACTGTTCAACATGTCACGAGGAATTCTGTCGAGTGTCATTCTTGAGAGAATCAATATTTTGGGGCTGGTTGGCATAGGAACTGTTTTTTAAGGCAATAATAACCTTAAGGGGATAGATCTGGAGAATGTGCAGGCCAAGGGTGGTTCACACCAAAGCCCATTATTATAACAACTTTCCTCACTGTTCCCTCGCTGAACTGTCTGACTATAGGGGGTAAAGCAGGGAGTAAAAGACTGGACATGAAAGAAACCACCCCAGATAGCCAGGCGAGAGACGGATTCATCTGAGGGGGGATTAACAGGAGTCTGACCTGATTTTTCACCGCTTGCCGAAGACTTTGGCATAAAGCTTAAAATCGATCTCTGTTTTTTAACTTTCGCTTTCGGCGAGGAAGCCGCCATTTTAACCACGCTTCATCAGGCTGAATATCACTGTCACGCCGTCTATAATTGGTTGACTATCCCGCGAAATGAGAGAACCGCTCAATCGCTCAACTAACTTTAGTGCAGCGGAGTCACACGAGGATTGCCGATTGGACTGTAGTCATGAAGAGGTACTATTGATATTACGACAACAAATGACGACGCTGCTTGAAACGATCTTTTACGAGGGTACATCGGAAACGTCGCAATATGACGACGTTAGCTACACTGTGTTAACAAGTCAATGCAGCGGACGATGCGAAGAAATTTATACCGGTGATGATTATTTAGATAAACAATTTTAGACGCCACTCTCAATGTGTCTTTTATCATCTCAAGAACAATGAAAGCACCCCCACTCGGTTTGTATGCAAGAATTTTCGCATCTTTGGTAATTTTTGTGCGAGAATTTTATTTTTTTGGCGAGAATCTCGCAGAATCGCGGCCTCGGCAGAACCCTGTAGCCTTAAAGGTTTTTAATGACGAGAAAGACCTGTAAACGTACGCGAATAAATGTATTGTGATTTTAATGTGGTTTATTATATTCAATTCAATTTTCAATTCAATTTATTTCTGTACTGGTACATAGATTGCCATGACCTTGTACAATATGATATACTAATGACGATACAATACAATTAGTGCATTACCATTTCTCTAGTTGGTATTATGTTGGCTAGCCATTTGTGAATGAAAAAATTACTCATAAAATATTCTCTCTAAGCAATGAGATAAACTTTGGTGTGATTATAAATTTACCATAAACATACTATAAGCATGTTACACAAAAGGATATGTTTAAACTTACAGTTACATAGCTGTTTACATGGCTGTTTAAAGCCAGTTTGATGACATAGATAATTACGATTAATGACAATTACATAAGACAGATAAGTAAATAAATTACACAGATATAATTATTGTGCCATGTTCAGTCCCACTGCCGAGTCACTTCTCACAACAGTGGAACCATACACTGACATTTTAGGAATATGCTAAGAGTTACCAAGCAGAGCAACCACTTCACTTCTTTTCTTGAACGATTTGATTATAAAGTTGGAGAGGGACACTAAAGTATCTTTGTTGGCACTGTTAAATACATGGCATAATGACTGTCTGCTGACCTTGTATCAGCTTTTAGGATTGAGGTTTTACTAAAAAGGGTGACTCGGTCTGCTTTGTACATTGGGCATTGGAATATAAAATGGTATTCATCTTCAATTACCCCTTGGGTGCACAGGCCACAGATTCTGTCGCACCTTTCAGTTTTCGGCCTGGTGTGCCGCCCAGTTTCGATGTGGAGTTTATGGTCACTAAGACGTAGTTTAGCAAGGGTTGACAAGGTGTTGTAATTTGTTATTTTATCAACATAAGTTGCCCTTTCACACTTTTGGTTAAGTATACGGAAGAGAGACAATTTACTGTTGGCTTGAAGTTTGCTATTGCATATTTGGGTAAAGTGGTCAGTTTGTCTTTGTTTGAAAATTGTGGTGAAGTTTTTTGGAGGTGACTGGCTAAGCCACACATGTCCAAGGCCAAATGTGAAAAGGATTTTTCGGATCCCCTCAGACTATGACATACAAGCTGGTCTGAGTGTGTGGATTGCGGGAGGAACATAAGGTGTCAGCAACTTGTAACTATTTATCTCTTGTATGTATGCTTGTTTCATTAGTGTATCATCAGACATTTGAATAATTTGACACCATAGTTTGACAGATGCAAGCTGTATTTTGGTATAGAGGGGAAGGCGGCCAAGTTCAGTGTATACACCATAGTTTGATACGTTTTGATGGAGGCCAAGGATTTGTTTGCAAAATTTTAAGTGCAACTTTTCTGTAGGGCAGTTATCCGTTGACACACAGTAGCCCCATATCTCTAAGCAATATGTAAGGATTGGGGAAATGAGGGTATCAAATAATTTCTCTTTTAAGGATGTGTTAACATTACTCTGAAGTGGAAGAGACTTGGACAGACTGAAGAATGCCTTTGTAGCACGTTGGAGGAGATTACTTTGGGTTTCTGTAAAGCTTTTATATATTGTATGGCGTGTTTGTGTATTTTCTTTGTATAATTGTATTGTCGCCTTCTCTGAAAATTCCGTCACAGAGTATAAGTTGAGATTGTATCTTCTTCTTAGCAATTCAAAACTGACGTCCACAAAATGGCGAATAAGAACTGTAGTGCTGTGTGCAAAAGAATGTCACTCGACATGTCTTCAGAGAAAACG